TTATCACTTTTTCGTTGCCATATATTTCTTTTTAATTTTTCTTCTTTCTAAAAGAAAAAGAAATGCTCAAGACAAGACACTTTTGCTGCTTGAAAAATTCAATTTGCTTCAAAACTTATACAGGTAATACGTAACTATGCAATGCGTAATATGTATTTAATACATAATACACAAATGACGTGTAATAGCTTGAGAATTTAGACTAATGGCTTGGGAAGTTTTAATTGCCAATATGTGAGTGATGTCATTTCTACTTTGGCCAAGTGCCGATGTAATCCGGTCATCTGCCGGTTTCGTCGGATATTCGAAAAACACGACCAAAAAAGTTGTATTTCTCACACTCTCCGCGGCTACTCAGTTTCTTAATTCTAAGCTCATCATCTTCACTGTGGTCATTAATGTTGCTGTAGGAGAAGAGGAAGAATTATATAAACTAAAAAGAGCGTTTTCTGAGAAATAATGAAGAACATGGAGAAAATGTATCACAGTAGGAAGAGGTGGAAGAAATAAAGGAGTGATAAAATCCTTTGTCTTCTGTCTTTTCTCTTGTCTTCCTCCGTTAACCTGGTTCTTCCCCACCACCTTTCTTCCTTTCTTTTTATTGAAATATTTTGCCAAATCCTTCTGCTTTTTTTTCGTTCTTCGCTGAATAAACTTTTGAGAAAACTGTCGACTGTATGAGACGGTGAATGTTGCTGGAAAGTCTACACTGGAATTCATTGCCGAGTCAATAGCAACCTTTGCCGTTTAAAAGCAGTTTTTTTGTCACTGTCGTCATCACTCTCCGCCTATCTTTAAAGACTTGTAATTTAGCTTGTTTTGAATAGAGTTTAACGCTTTTCGGTTTATTAGATTTGTCATTTTTTGAATTTTTAAATTTTCAAACGCATATTTATTTTTTTTTCATTCTGTTAAAATATCACATAAATACAATAAAAACAAAATTTCAAACGAACATTAACAAAAAAAAAATTTAAATTTTTTTAAAAAACATATTTTGTGCAGAATTTTTTGCTCTACAACACTTCAAAATTTGGAGGCGGCAATTTTTCGGTATCTAGAGCTACGAGCAGGAATAGGATGTAAAATGAAAAAAAACCCACTATTTTTACATTAATTCTGTGTATTTTACAATGACGAAACCATCCGGAGCCGCTTTCTGAAGGCCGCAGCGGGCAGCCACAAATATCCCATATGTTTTGAACGTTATAACTTTGTCACAAAAATTGTAGTTTACTTTCACGATATTAACTCTTTATTATTCAACAGATTTATAAGATGTAGCCTTCGCTCTAGCGTTTCTATTTCTCGTATTTTTTTTTTTGTCAAAACTATGTAGCTAGCATACATTTTGACGTTGCAAAGAAGTCCAAGAAGTCACCGCTATGCCTGGATATCTGTTGAATTAAGATTTTTCCTAAAACTTCCTCTGTTTCTGGGGAACTTTAGCACGTAAATTCAAAGGAAAACAACAAGTAGGGCTTCCGTTCGCTTATGAAACCAAAACTTTAACAAGTACAAGATAAAAACAATTCCAAATTCAAAAGGTAATTTTTTTTTTATATTTAGAAACTTCGTTTTTTTTTATATTTTTGTTTGAAATGTTTGTTTTTATTGTATTTATGTAATTTTTGAAAAAAATAAAATAATAAATATGCTTTTTAAAAATTCAGGTCATGACAAATCTAATGAACAAAAAATCATTGAATTCTATTCAAAACGAGCTAAGTTACAAGTTTTTAAAGATAGAGATGCCAAGTGGCAACCTGGAGAATTTTGCAACTTAGGGGGGTGTAACTTAGCGGGGCATTCACTTTTCCAGGTTTTTTTTGCGGCTTTCTTTATGTTCGCTTGGACTCTGGTAATCAGCAAAATCTAAAGAAAATCCGCGATATGAAGGGAAAAAAGTGTACGATTTAACGTGGAATTGCTCATATATATATGGGCCATTCCATGCCAAATCGTACACCTCTGAACATCACCCAGTCAGATTGTTTTCATTTCTTGCTGACTAGTACAGTCTAGGCCAGCATAAAGAAGGTCGCAAAGAAAACATGGAAAAGTGAATGTCCCGCCAAGTTACACCCCCCAAAATTCGCAAAATTTGCCAGGTTGCCGCTTGACATGCCTATATTTGGAGGTTTGTAATTTGGCCCGTTCTTGCCAAAATTTAACGATTTTTGGTCCTCTTGTTTCTTATTTTCTGAACTTTCAATTGAGTAGTTTAATTTTGATATAAATTCTCAGAGGTACGATAAAAACAAGAATTCAAACAAACATTGATAAAAAAATGTTTTTAAATTCTTTGAAAAAGATAAATTTCGTGAATTTTTTTCTCTACAACACATCAAAATTTGGAGCTGGCGATTTTTTGATA